AATCAATTTCAGTTTCTTCAATTCCATTTCATTTGAGATAATGGAGTTTTGTGAGGAGACATTTTGTCTTCCTTTTCATGGTTAATCTTCCTTCTCTCTTTGAGAAGGAATATCTTCAAAATCTACATATCTTCAATCTAGAAGACAAATAAAATCGTTTTGAGGAGCCTGCCATTGCAGGTTCAATTTCGGTTTTGAGAAGCTGCCATTCTAGCTTCAATCTTCAATTTCCATTTCAATTTCATTTTGATTGCCTTTCTGGGAATAAATCAAACATTTCGTGAAGAGGAACATCTCTTCAATTTTTCATCTATTCTGACATTTCGTTGAACATCTAGTGAGCAAAGCACTTTCCTGTTTTCTGATTTTTTTTTGTGTGGCTGATTTTCGTTTTTTTTTTTTATTGAATTGAGAAAAGAAAAAAAAAGAAGAAGAAGAATTTCGGATGAAGGATCTAAACCCGCTCTGATACCATGATAAAATCAAGGAGAGGAAGCTTAAATGGAGCTGAATTTATTAAACTAAAAACACCAGAGGCCAACAGAAATTATTGAACGAGAATTAAAACAGAGGAGAAAGGATAGGCCTGCTGCAAATGAGCAGGGAAGAAGAAGAACTTCATTCAGTCTTGCTTGATTAAGAATTACAGTGCATGAGAACTCTATTTATAGAAGAAAAAGCTAACCAACTATCTAACTAACTAACAAGATAACAAACTTAAGAAGATACTAGAATAAACTAGAATCTGAAGCTGGAAGAAGAGGTGAATTCTGTTGTGTTGTTGCTGGACATTCACGTGCAGGAGGTAAGCTGGAGAACTGGTACTGACCACGTGAACTGGAGGCTGGTTTACTTGCTGTTTGGCTGCTGGTTCGTGAACTGAAGCTTGCAGGAGCTGGTTTGCATGTTGAACTGCTTTTTGGTTTGCTGGTGCACGTCTGGTTTGCTGGTGAAGGCTGGTTAATATTCCAACACGCTTGAATTTGTATGCCAAAAGTTGGGTAAATAACGTAATGTTCCAAATTTTGCAGGATTACTTGTAAAATTATCTGCTATTGACTTTGATTGCAAACATAAACCATTTTCTGCTCTTCGTTCTTTCTTTCCAGCTTATGACACGAAATGTTCGTTGAACATAATGGTCTAAATTTTGCAGGATTTTATCATTCTGCAATCTTGAACACCCATGATGTCGGGGGAGGGGATAATTTATGGGAGCTGGCAAAACGAACATACAATTCCTTTGCTAATGCCAAGAACAACAACAAGCATTTTTCGGACATGGCCGATATTAACTTTTTGATGTGCAAAGCAATAGAGAACCCAGGTTTAACACCATCAGGATCACTAAGAACTTCACTGATATCTGTCTTTGAGGACCCTGTGATCAACCATTCAAACAAAGAGCGTCAAGGGATTGGGCTAGAAGACTTCATGGGATGTGCCTCAGTTCATGGTGTAGGCCCATCCTTAGCTATATTTGACACTATACAAGACGGGGAATTGGATTGTGCATGTGTGTATCCTTCCCCATTACACTCAAGGCACCAAATGCATGAATTTTTGGATGAAATGAAAAGGATTCTTTTGAATGGAAGCAACAATGTTGGTGGCAACAATTGAATGAGCTGATGTTTATTGAAGGGCGAAGTGTATCATTCTACGATTCTTTTGTGGGTGTCATATTAAAAGTGCGTGTACATTGCAAGGGCAGTGATTAGGTCCGACTTCATAAGCTCGTTTGCAAATTATCGTGGTAATGACCCAAGGGTTTTGTGAAAATTTGTGCGGACATTTGCATGAATAAAACAGATTTCCGCTTTGCCCTCAATTCTTCTCTTCTATGCACCCCTTTCTTTTCATGTTCGTTAGCAAATTATTAACTCCTGAGTCAGTAAATCAATGTCAACTCAAAATGGCTCGTCTGTGTATTCCCTGGGCCATGGATGTGTTAATTGGAGCTTGGACTTCTCCAATTCATAATTATGATCCAATTTCTGCCAGTTCATTCTTGTCTGGCTTGTCATTAAAACATGCAATGAGTATTAATACTTCAAACTCAAGATCTGATGGCTTCAGGATGTGTTCTGAGGTTTGTGTATTGAGCCAAACGCTGACTTCTCGTCACACTGTAGGAGCAATTCATCAGGTTGGTTAGCTCTAAAATCGTAACATAAATTTCGTACGATTACACTATATATACAAATTGATATATTTTATAGATCCATCGACTCTACATTTTAGACGGTGATCCTGATATATTTGAAACTAGCTAGACTGTGACAAAAACAATTATTTCCTCTTCAAATTGACCTTCACTGAGCATATATATTGGGCATTTCATCATGGCTGTGTGAGCTCAATATAATGCAGCTACATAAAATATTTTTAGGGGGCCTTTTCTGTGTGCAAGAGAGGTGTGCGGAAAACTTGTATTCTTTATCAGCTAATATAGTGTAAACTTGCATTGACGAGACGACGAAGATCCAACTCAGAGGGTTACACACAGTAGATCTTTATGTGTTTAGCCTATTTCCTGATTACTTTTTATATTATTATTCTTGCCAAAAGGACTGGAGTTTAATCCATAACAAAATTGGTGCATGCACCAAGTTTTTGGTGTATCCCTTTGTGATAGGGGGACTGACACCAACTTCGATGGTTGCTCATTCTTGCAGGCCTCGAAATGCAGGAAAATTTATTATAACTTTCTTTTTGCTGTCGAATGTAGCTAAGATAAAAAAGGAGAATTTTCGCAATTCAGCTTAGAATAAAAGATGCAGAAGAGAGGTATAGGAGAACAAAGTTGGACCATTACAGGTTACAGCCGCTTTATTACTTGTGCATTTCTAATATTTACAAGAATAGTTGACTAACTGAATAACTACCTCAAAATTCTCAAGTTTTGCCTGAACTTGGCAATGTCTTGAACAGTCTGCTGTACCCATTTGATGAACTGCGTGTATTTTACAGGCTCCTGTATATTGTATTACCTAAATAAACTCCTCTACCCTGTCTCCAAAATCAAATTTTCCATTGCAGCATTCAACTGCACTTGTCACTTCTTGAAATACATTGACACTGCAGGGTACAACCAGGCCATTGCTTTGCCGAAATCCAAACTCATTGTAGGCCTTCTCTAGCAATATCTTGAACAGAGGGTGGGAGAGATAAGCTGTTGGGACTACGAATTTTTGACGATCCTCACCTACGTACACTGCAAAAGTACCTGTGGGTGCGGTGGTGGCGGTCGGAGAGGCTCCTACTTTGTTGTCCCTGAGCAAACGCTCGTATTTTTCTGATAGTTGGCGGTTGGCATTGCCAATGACCTTAACCTTCTTGGCTAGTTTCTTCACTGAACCAAGCTTCTTTCCCAACATTTTGTTTAGTACTGAAAACGGTGGGTGAAAGAGGAAGAACTTGACTGTTGCATTGAAGGAAATTGTTTGTGGGTGGGGGTGGTTTTGTAGTGTAGTTTTATGGGGGTGGGTGTGGGGGTAAGGGGTCGGCGTGGGAGGAATGTTCCAAATGGGGTCAGTTTTGACTTTTCAAATAATTGAGATTCTATGAGTGATTTATTTCTATCTAGAGATTTTCCTCATTTACTTTTGACTTATCATTAGCTAAGAGGACACCAGGTATATAGGTGGAATTTAGCCCCCGTTTGTCTATCATTTTTCAAAACATTGTTTTCTACAGTAATCGATCTCCACCACACATTCAAATAATAAAATATTCTACGAAACCATATATTCTCCAAAAAATACTATTCAAAACATCATTCTTTCTCCCATAACAGGAGAAACAAGTGCTTATTTGTTAATTTGTTTCATAAGCATTAAGAAATAACATATCCAAAAAGGATTTAAAAGAAAATTCTCACAAGCCAAAAATTAAAATTTTCCCGGGTTATGAAACATTAAGAAATAACGCGTCCGAAAAAGTAAACCTTTTTACGAGCAGAAAAAGTAAATATTTCGTCTGTTATCAATTACTTCTTCAAAAAAGGAAAAAGAAAAAACAATCGATTGTTGCTGAAAGAATCTAAACTACGATTATTTTTTATAAATATTCTTATTTTAGGGTAAGAAAAATCAAACAAAGTACCAAACCTTGTTATATCTAACCGGCCGGAATTATTTTATGTTAACTTCCTTAAGGGAGAAAGAGAGTGGTGACCCTCAATTCAATTAAAGAAAGAAAGAAATAAGGGTATATTCTTTAAAAAATAAATAAATCAGAGTAAACGAAGACCGCATTGTTTGTATTCTGGTAGAGGATTTTCCATATGGCATTGGGAGTAATTGACTTATTTTTTGGGTTAGAATGGTCGACACGACAGAAGCTCCATTCACAACAAGACACGATGGGAGAGTGATCGTTCATCAAGAAGAATACTTGACTTTGAGAGTAATAAAAACTTCACGGGTCAATGCTAGACGTGTAGAAAATATTGTTTTCCTTTTTGGTTTTATTGTAGAAAATGAATTGTGGTTGGTTTTTAAGTCTTGATAGTGGTTTGTGTCTCATGTTGAAGGACGAACCATGAGCACAAAAATAGAATCAGGAGCAGAATTATTTTATGAGATAACATTGAAGTTCTATCACGCTAAGAAGTGCAGTTTATATAAGTCGGTATTAAAGTGATTATTGATTAGTTAGGTTCATGAAATTTATCAAGGGCCTGTTCGGTAGAGATTAAAATTGAAAAACTAGTCGTTATTGTTGACTTTCATTAGACGAGTGAGACCCAATAACGGCTATAGTTTCAATTTTAATTGAATTTTAAGTTTAGCCAAACATGCTTTAAGTCACGCGCGCAGTATCTCGAGCCATGGAATTCCTTTTCTCTTCGATCACTTGAGATTTTCATTACACTTTTAGAATTTCGTAGTACGGTGTCAAAGTAATCGAAACAATAATGATAATCATTTTTCGAAGTGTCTCATCAAATCCTATACACCTCGTACCACTTGTCCTCTTTATTTAATAGAAAAGAAAGGATTTATCGTAACGTTTATACATACAAGTCCTTATAATCTATAAAACGATCACTTTATTCAATTTAATATTGAAAGAAACATTTTCATTAATTGAAAATCATATGTTGACGACATTGTACTTAAGAAAGAATTTTAAGAACTGTGGGGATGGAATCTTTGAACTAAATTTCGATTTTAGAGGTTGGCAACGACAATACGGTATGACTTGGTCGTGGGATGTAGGATAGGACATGGGACGCAAACTTCCTTGTCGCATTTGCCTTTGTTTAATATTTCTAAATTAAATCTAATTCTTCTAATCAATCAATTAAATTTAGCCTTGTCCAAGTAGCAAAATTCCTTTTTATATATAAACCACTTCATTTGCAATAAATTTGAAAATTATGTCAAGTGTACATTCAAGTTTACACATTTTTTGACATTAGGTGGGGAATTCAGAAAGTCGTGGGGCAGGAAAGTGTTTTTTTTTTTAATTGTTTAATCATGTGCCGACACGTAGCACAATTTTAAAAAATAATGTAAAACAAGAGGTACATGTAGCTTGATTGTAAGATATGTATTAATTTAGCCTCGTTTGGTAAGTATTTATGCCCTATTTGATTGCCATTATTTTGAGAAAATTGAGTTTTGAATATTGACATTGTTTAGAATATGTGATTAAAAAGTAAGAATTTTTTTTGATTTTACGTGCAAAATATTTTATTCTAAATGTGTAGTTGAAAAAGAGTATAAAAATTAAAGAGTTATGAAAGAATGATTGTCAACCAGGGCTATAAACGATTTAAATTATAAATAAATAGAAATAAGTGATAGATAAGTGGTATAACACTTGTGTGTCTATTGAAATATATGATTGAAAAAGACGTTTGACCATTTGGTTTTTTTCTTTCATTAAATAGATTTGTCGTACAAGAAAATGAAAAAAATATGAGCCATGGATCAACATTGTTATTTCCAATTGTTTTCTTGATAATTCTACACACAAACTATACTTAATATGGTGAGAAATTTGTACACTCGAAGTCGAGCTCTAGCTCAGGTGACAAGAGCAAAGTCAGGCCTGAGTTCGAACATCCTTTGAATGTAAGGAAATTAAAATCGAAAAATGTATCCATAATAATGTTAAACTTTAGAGCTTAGACAAAATTAAATATTTGAGAAGGTTTGAGTACCGATATATATTTGAGAAGACATTTGTTTTTTTCATTTTATCCTTACATTTTTATGTTTATGTTCAATAATAAAATTAATATTTAATTTATTTTTACTAAGTACAAACAATAATTACTGATTATTAATATTGGTGCTTTCAAAATAAAATAAGTTAATTAATTTCCACATTATTATATACAATTAATAAAAACGTTTTTATATAAAAATAACTTGAAATAGCATAAACTATTAAGTTGATTACTTTTGGGAATTAATTGGTCCCCCAATAACATTAATTCATGCGTCAACCTTTTTTTTTTTTTGGACAATATGTAAGGTTCTCTTTTTAAATAATATTATACATCTAATGATCATATCTCTAAATTGCTGGGAAAACGTATATGCAGACTTTTTTTTTTGAGTAAATTAAAGAAAAAGGTCTTTTTATGCGCAATTGATCAAACTACAAAAAGGTACCTTGATATTACCCCAGTGGTGTCTCATGAGAGACCTTTTCGGGTTGTTAAATGGGCTAAACCTGCGGTTGGTAGAGTGAAACTTAATGTTGATGGGAGTTGTCTTGGCAACCCTGGAATGGCTGGTGGTGGTGGAGTTGTTAGGGATGATATGGGCAGGTTGGTTGCAGGCTTTTCTTCTTTCTTTGGATATGGTTCTAATAATGAAGCGGAGTTGAGGGCGCTTATCGATGGACTGACCTTGTGCCAGGATTTGGGTTTATACCAGGTAGATATTGAATGTGATTCTTTGCTA